TAGAATAGAATAGAATAGAATAGAATAGAATAGAATAGAATAGAATAGAATTCTTACATCCTCTTACTGTAGGTCTCGTGAAATGTAACCATGATTTTCTCAGTCTTCCTCTTCACTACTCCTTCATGTGTTTCTTTTATGATTCACTAATCATTCATTCTGTCTAGATGGCTGAACCATCCCAACTCGCTTCTTTAGGACTGGTAAAACTCACTTTTTAATCCAGAACGTGTATTTGACACCTAATAATCTTGGTTCTGTCTCTTCTGGTTTTACCATGCACGTGTAATTGCCCCAGCACATTCAACATTTATGTTTATGTTTCCCATGACAAATCAACTCTTACTTTTATATAACAAAGTAGGCAGAAGCTTGCTCTTAGGCACAGCCTTTCTTGCTTGGTTTGATTACCAGGCATTCCTCACAATAGATCACATATTATCCATTAGCTTTCTGTCCCCATTTGCACATCCTAAAATTCATCCATCCAGTCCCCCATATGTTAGCTGTTCTACCAACTAACAAATTCAGTCACTTGCTCTAGGATGGGTTTTTTCCCATGTGTGCAAAATTTGCAGTCATTCGTTCTGTTTTCTCTGTTCAATAGAAGCACTCTACACGAATGAAGGCGAATCTATGTGTCTCAGGATAATGTTGCAGGATCCAGTCTGGGTCGGTCACCGGGACACAGGTTTCGTCTTCCGTGCTGGAGCCTATCTTGAAGAGTCCGAAAGCTCAGAAGACAAAACCTCTGTGTCCCGGTGACCGACCCAGATTGGATCTGCAGAAGTGCTCTAGTCTTTAATGCATTAATTTACAGATCCATTCTCCTTATTACAGCTGATTACAGTTGATTTCTCAGTCATCAACATAGCATTGTCTGCATAACAAAGGAGCACATCTGTTCACGTCTACACCCAAAACACCTCTAATGTTACCACAAGCATTATATTACACAACCAAGAGGACTTACATTCTTGCCTTACGGCCTGCTTGAGGTTGAATCATTGTCTAAGTGCTCTGTTTCCTTCCCTGTGTGATTTACTTCCATCAAATAATACTTTTAGCACAATGAGCAGTCAACTTTCAGTGCTTTATTTATAAAAAACATTCCATCGTGGCAACTGGACTTCTGAAGAAGCTACTTGGATAAACAGTGAAACATTTCAAATAAAGAAAAGACCAGTTGCCATGATTCAACTTCCAACAACTCTACCTGGATGACTGAGAATCTCCATCGACATTCCACAATTCCCCTTATCACATTTTCCCTAAATCATCAAAAGTACAATAAACTGTGTTTCTCATCTTTGTATTTTAAATTGGTTCCAGTTTAATTTAAAGTTATAATGTACAGATAGGGATGCTTTGCTGGTGACATACTACAGGTTTCCTTCACGACCGAGAGCCAGAAAGACACCAAAAATTATGTTTCTTGAATAATGAAAGACTGAATGAAAGCTTAACTAACTCATCTCCTCATTCATTTTGTGAAATGTTTATTTATCAACTCCAGAATACATTCCGTTAGCATTTAGCTTCCCTTTGGAGTTGTGTTTAATGTTCACTTAATCATAATTGTCTTTCTCTCCAACTTCAGGACTGAATACTGTAGGATCTATTGATACTAGTCCACACAAATTAAGTGAGATATTTCTTAATTTTCTCTTGCTTCTTTTTTGCAGGTGGAAACTGTGCCTGTCAGGTATGTGTCCAGAAAAGAAACATAAAAAGCTCTTTTGCAATTTCTTCTTCTCTCACCTGCTCTGATAAGGGGGTGATTTCAGCAGGGTGGAGACTGGGATATCGTCACCTTAGTATTCAAAGCACTCAAAGTTTGGAGGAAGCCAGTGAATAGCCCAAGGATGTACAGGTAGATCTGTATCCTCTGAATGCTAGACACAGTTGCACAGATGTGCTAGGAGGAGCTTTTGTGAAATGGTTGAGCTATTTGAGTGAGCTCCACTTGTAATTCTTCAGAACTGATTAGCAATCTAAATGGACCAAAGACTAGCCTGCCAGATTGGCAGGATATCAGATCCAATATGAGCTCAGTTAATCTGTTTTTGCTTTTGCTTTGCCAGTCTTGGAGAGCTTTGCAACTTCACCCATTTGGGCAGGAAACATACACAGACACACAAATCTCTCACTTATCAAGGTCCTGTTGGATCCCAATATGCACCTTGTGGTTCTGCTTTATTGTGATGCTGCCAAGTTGCTCTGATGATTAAATTGGAGATGTGACATCCGTTTCCTTTGCGTTAACTGGTGACAGGCAAAGATTGCTTGTGCAGTTCTCTTCTTCACTGTGCTAGGGAGACATTTTTACATGTAAGGAAATGGCTGGAGTTTTCTGTGGAACCAAGAGTTTAAAATTAATTTGTTAATAGCATTTGGCTTATTTTTTTTATTAGGTTCGTTTGTACACTGTTACTGTGCATGTTTCTGATTGTCTGCAAATTAGTTTCTTGCATGATACTTAGGACTTTCTCCTGGCCACCCAGGCTGTGGGCCGATAAACCACTTTGATTGAGACAAGGAAGCAGAATGCCCAGGTCAGAAACTTCCCCTCTGATTTAAGTTGAACAGATATTGTGGGAATTTGGCACGTTCCAAGGATGCTTCATTCGTCAAACAGGTGTTGAAGAATTGTATGGTTTCCTAGTAGTACTGGAATCAGAAGCAAGAACCCAGGCCTCTTTCCTTAGCTACTGCTTTCAGAGGGCAATAAAGGGTTGCACGGTTTCCTGATTTTGGAGAAGAAGGAGTAGGGTTGGTGGATTTAATTAAAAACACCTCTTCATCCTGATCCCCCTCGTTCCATCTGTTATGTGGACTCTGCAAACAGATATGGCTGAGCCACTTTATAATAGTTTTACTGCCATCTCTTTATAAAATTGGGAACGCGGTAATTTGCTACATAAAAGTGTTGAGCACTTTGTGCTCAATAAAAGTACTGCTTGGTGTCCAGGTGAATTGACTGGAAAGCTTTGAGGCTGGAGACAATTTACTTGATAATGGAGGGATGCCGTGATGTCTATACTCTTGTCTTACTTAGCTATGTTTCTCTCTATTCCAGACCAGCAGCGCAACCAGAAACATTGACCTTGGGTCTAAAACAGCACGAGGAGCTATGTGACGGACCCTTGCAGTACATAATTTGGCGAAAGATGCTGAAATCCATCAGCCCAGGTGTGTTTCCCTGTTTCAAGAAAGCTTGGGATAAAGAGATACAACAGAGCTCCCAGATAGCAAAGGCCCCACTTAATTCTATGCATTGCTCCCATAGCTCCTACTGCTCTGACCCTGGATCCAGAATCGGCCCACCCCAACCTCATCCTCTCCAAAGATCTGACTTCAGTGACAGAGAAGGAGTCGCCTCAGGCAGTTCCCAGAAGTCCCAGACGTTTCCTGCAGAGCGTGAATGTGTTGGCCATGGAATCCTTTGAAAGCGGGCAGCATTACTGGGAGGTCTGGGTGGGCAACAAGACCAAGTGGGAATTGGGAGTGGCTTCAGACAATGTGAACCGGTTAGCCAGAGTCCGGCTGTGCCCAGATAATGGCTATTGGACAATAAGACTGTGGAACGACTCCGAGTATTGGGCTGCAGCAACTCCCTGGGTACGTTTGAGGCCCCAGCACTTGCTGAGGAAAGTGGGGGTGTTGTTGGACTGCAAGGCCAAAACGCTGACTTTTTATAATGCTGAGGAGATGTCACTCCTCTTTACTTTCCATCAGTTGTGGGCTGGCAAATTCTATCCTTTCTTCAGTACTGGCTTCAGTCATGGTGAGAAGAATGCAGAGCCCATGAGGATCTGCCACCCTCTCAAGCTCTGAAATCTTCTCGTTTCACAGGATTCGGTGGTACTTTCCTTTTTTTTTTTCCTGCCTTTGCAGTATTACAATACTGTTTCTCTGTCCTCATAACTGCCACTGAAAAAGGTTTGTTGAGATTTCAGACCATTTATGTTTGTGATATACTGTAGATGCAGCCAACTGAAGTGAAAAATGAAGGGATGTTGACCTTTTTTTTTTTAAAGTGGTCCCTGACTGTCTTTTCTAAGGTGGGCTTTCTTTTTTTATTTTAATCTAACAAGATAGTTGCTATTCATTTAAGGTGCAATCTGGCAAAAAGCAAAAGATCTTGACTGTGTATCAGAAAAAATGATAGATGTAAGTTTCTACTTCCTGTTACCACTTTTTCCAAGTGTAAATATGTTTCTTACACATATATATAGTAGGCTTGTACTTTATCTGGTTGGTTTCTCCATCTGCCTGAACAAAAAAAATTCCTTGTTAGTAAGATTCAGTTGTCCAAAAGTGCTATTAATTTTCATTTATATTCTGAGTTAAGAACAACAACAAAAAATCGGTCTCAGAAAGAAGCATAAGTTTAAAGAGAGAACATGAAGAAGAAATGGTTTTTAAACTTTTTAAAACAACCTTCAAATTACACAACGGGCATAACACCAGCAGGCATGAGAATATCACATCTTGTCCTGGATTCTGAGGAGATTCAGTCAGTCGAAGAGATTGAAAGCAGCCTTTTCTATGATGGCAGGGCTAAGATGCTGAAGAATTAGATTATGCTGATATCTTTAAAGGAACCAGCCAGATTCACAGGTCCCAGACTGAAGGACAGCTTCCCAATTTTGCTGTATAGTTTTCAAATAAAAAAAATAAGGCATTTTTATTTTATTTCAAAATACAATGTTAAAAAAGTCCTTGAAAAATCACTTTAAAAGAGCATTTTGTATATGTGTGTCTAGATTGACATTATGCCATAATCATAATCATAATTGTGTCTAGATTGACATTAAAGAATATTCATGAGAAGAGTAGAATTCCTTTTGATTTTTTTTCTCCCAGTTTTTGTGTAGTTTCTGGAAATGCCAGCAGAGGGTAGTGTCTGCCAACAGAACATTTTAACAGGCACTGAACTATTATTTATATCTCACTATTACTATATTTTATAAATAACTCAAGGCAGCAAACATACATAATCTTCCTTCTATTTGATTCATACCTGTCATTCTTATGGTATTCATAGATGCTTGCAAAATGGATTTACTTTAAAAAAAAAAAAAAAAGTTCCGAATTCAAACAATTGCAAACAGGAACAATTTTTAAAGAGAAAAATGTCTCCCTTCCAGGGACCCCTTTGGTGGCTCAGAAATCCAAAATTGGCTAAAACAAAAAAAAATGTGAATGCTTTTTGCTTTAGAGGGTCCAATGTTTTTCCAGTCCGCAGAGGATATATTTTCCAGACATGCCCCTAATCCTTGCACTAGGCAAGGTAATATTTCAAAAAAAGGTCTAACCATCTTAAAAGGGGAAACTCAGGAAACTTGCTGCTTTTCTCTCCTGTGTTGCCAAAATGAACTTGGCCAGGCTTTTGAGAGGATGAATTCGCTTACCTACTAACATCCTTGTGGTCTAGTAGGATTTGTTGGGGGGGGGGGCTTTGTGCCTCTGTTGTGCCACATAAAAGGAGGATCTGCCCCGAAGCTAAGCATTTGGGTGTTTTTAGTGACATTGATTAAATAAACAGAGCAAGTTGATTAATAGTTTCACTTAGTCAAACCTTCAAACTCAAATAGCTAGTAACAGTTTACTCCCTATCAAATGACATTCAGTTGGCCTTTGAGGGAGGAAGCTGCATTAAATCTGCTTCACATATTTGGGGCCCTGCTTTTAGATGGCCACAAATCCTATAAATAGGTGATTTCCTTTACTTCAAGCTGCCTCCTTTGGACAGTTAATCCCTCTAACCTACAGTAAATCCGTAAAGTTAAAAATGACAATCCATTTGCAAATCTGGATGAAAACTTGATAGAAGTGTTGAATTTGAGCATTAAATCATGTTTCTGAAACTTGAATAAGGCTTAACAGAATAACAGAGTCAGAAGGGACCTTGGAGATCTTCTACCGGTAGTTCAGTGCCCTGCTCAAGCAGGAGACCCTATATCAATTCAGACAAATGGCTGTCCAATCTCTTTTTAAAAACCTCCAGTGATGGAGCACCCACAACTTCTGATGGCAAGCCGTTCCACCGGTTTATTGTTCTCACTGCCAGGAAATTTCTCCTTAGTTTTAGGTTGCTTTTCTTGCCTAAGTATAAAACCTTACTTTTCTCTACATTGAATTTCATTTTGTTAGATAGGGTCAAATCTGTTGAGAGCCATCTGGATCTTGAGCCTACCTTCTGGGGTGTTGGCTGTTCCCACCAGCTTAATGTCATGTGCAAATGTGATGGCTTCCCCTTCTATTCCCTCATCTAAATTGTTTATAAAGATATTGAATAATACTGGGCCTCAGACAGAACCTTGTGGTACCCCATGCTTACTTCCCTCCATGTAGATGTGGTTCCATTAAGGATTACACGCTGAGTCAGTTTATCAGCCAGATATGAATCCATCTGGTGGTGGTGATCCCACATTTTTCTAGCTTACCAAGAAGTAAGTTGTAGTGTATTTTGTCAAATGCCTTACTGAAATCCAAGTATACTAGTTACACAGCATTTTGCTGGTCCACTATTTTAGTCACTTTGTCAAAGATTTGTTTGGTATGATCTGTTTTTGACAAACCCATGTTGGCTTCTGGTTATAACTCTGTTTGCTTCTAGGTATTCACAGATGTGGTACTTGATCTTTTCCAGGAACTTCCCAGGTATTGATGTCAGGCTGATTGGTCTGTAGTTTCCTGGATCTGTGAGGTTCCCCCCCCTTTTTTTTTTTTTGAAGATGGGAACCACATCAGCTGTTGTCCAGGTCTCTAGTAGTTCCCTAGTAATAATAATAATAATTAATAATAATTAATAATAATGATAAAGTTGGAAGGGACCTCGGAGGTCATCTAGTCCAACCTCCTGCTCAGGCAGGAAACCCTACACCATTTCAGACAGATGGCTGTCCAGTCTCTTCTTAAAAACTTCCAGTGTTGGAGCATTCACCGCTTCTGGAGGCAGGTTGTTCCACTGGTTAATTGTTCTAACTGTCAGGAAGTTTCTCCTTAGTTCTAGGTTGCTTCTCTCCTTGATTAGTTTCCATCCGTTGCTTCTTGTCCTGCCTTCAGGCGCCTTGGAAAATAGCTTGACTCCCTCT